AGTCACTTGTTTTTCCACGTTCATTATCGAAACTTTTCTCAAGTGACTTCAGTCATTTGTCATTTGGGATGTAATTAACTATAGCGGTTTGTCTTTATAAGGAGTTTGAAACTAAGGTAAAATAAATCATATTTAATTTTTGTATTAAATAGGAGAATTTGTCAGTCACACATAAAAGGTTCGCAGACGTATGTCACAAACCTCTTAGTTTGTCGGATTGGGTCTATCGCCGAGATATAGACTCATTTTTCAGGAATGTGTAATATTTGAGGTATCGGGAGCAATTATGCAAACTATTAGACTAATGAGATTCATTCAGTCTTATTTTCTAAAAATTAAAACACACTACTTTCAAAACTAAAACTATATACCTCTTATATTAAATTAAATTTTAAAATTATTTTCAATTTTCAAAATCAAAAAAAGGTTGACCGACAGGACATTGTCCTGTTTTATCTAATTGAGTTCAATATTTTGTCTCTTTTATGGATGATTTTTCTTGCATGACTTGATTTTACTTTATAAATTTCATACTGAGTTTCTATCCTATTTTCAATCATTTTATGCTGAAATTAAAACTCAATTCAATAATTATGTTAAGATTTTGAAAAGTGACCATGCTAAATAATATTTCTTTGCACCATTCAGACATATATGACACAAAACAGAATGTTTCATCAATCATTATGTGTCTATACTCCATCCCAAAATGGAATAGATGAAAGAAAAATAGACATTTTCTTGAGAAGACCAAAGCTTCTTTGCTACAAACTAATGTACTCAAACAGTTCTGGGTTGATATAGTTTCTACTGCATGTTTTTTTTTTTATCAATCGAGTGTATTCTACTGTTTTACAGAACTAGATACCCTATCAAGTTTTATTTCACACCGAACTCCCTATTTCACATTAAATCACATATATTTGGGTATATTTGTTTTGTTTGTGAACTTCATCCACAAGTTTCTAAACTGCACTAAGACATTTAGGTGTCTTTTAGGATGCTCTCGTTTGCAAAAAGAGTATTCATATTTTTTCCCTCTTAAATAAGTATATGAACTCTACTGATGTCACCTTTCACGAACAAATCTCATTTTTTGGTGACTCGTCGCTACTTAAATCTTCATAAAATTCTAATCACATCGTCAGTTCAAATCCAATCCACCATCAATGCCTCAGCCTAGACCACTTATCAATAATGTTTACTCGAGACGACATCGTCCACCTAGTCCTAGTTCGACACTGGTATCATCCTATCAGTGGATCCTCCTCCTAGTGACATTGATTTACCTATTGCTCTTCGAAGAGATAAACATCAATGCATCTATCTCATTTCCTCATTTGTGTTATATAACCAGTTATATTATACTTGGTGCTCTTTTATTGCTTCTCTTTACTTTGTTTAGGTCTCAAAAATTTGTTCAACAAACTCTATCCCATTTTAGGTGGCAGACAGCTATGCATGATGAAATGAATGTTTTAAATAAACATGAAACAAGAAAAATAGTTGAACTGCCTTCTAATAAAAAGGATGTTGGTTGTAAATGGATATTGGCAATTAGGTTTCATTCTAATGGATCTGTAGGTAACCTAAAAGCTCGGTTGGTTACTAAGAGCTATGCTCAAACTTATGGGATTGATACTTGGACACGTTCTCTCCAGTAGCTAAGTTGACTTAAGTTTGCCTATTTTTGTCCTTGGCTGCAAAAAATAATTAGCACCATGCAGTAGCTTGATGTGAAGAATGTATTTCTGCATGATCAATTAGAAAAATTTTATAAGGAGCAAACTCATAGGTTTATTGTTCAGGGGGAGTCTGGGAAATTATGTCGTCTTCGGATGTCATTATATGGATTCAAGCAAAGTCCTCGAACATGATTTGAAAAATTCAACCAAGCATTAAAAAAGTTTGGGATACAAAAAAGTAAAAATTATCACATTGTATTCTAAAAGCAATCTGCTTTTGGGATTGTTCTATTAATGATTTATTTTGATGGCATTATTATAACAAATGGCAATGTCTAAGAAATATAATCAACGAAATTTTTTCTCTAAAATAAGTTCAACAATAAAATATAGGTTCCTTGAAATACTTCTTAGGGATTGAGATACCAATGAGCAGGAAGGGTATCTTTCTATCTTAACAAAAGTATGTTTTGGATTTGTTAGCAAAAATTGAAAAATTAGGAATCAAACCATGTACTACTCTGATGCTTCATATGAACAACTTACAAAGGATGAGCTCTTTTAATGATCTTGAATGGTAATATTGAATCTGAATTTATCCTGTTAATCACACCAAATGAATAAAGCGTAAACTGAGGAGAGAGAGTGTGTCCACAGTAATTAATAGTAGAACGAGAGAATTGTGTAACATTTTATTAATGGAATTGTCCCCTATTTATAGCCAAAGAGGGTACAATAGGTATAATTACATGATTACTCCTGCTTCAATGGTGAGCATTCTAAGATATTTTGGGTATTTACATAAACAGCTTGACTACCCTATCGTTCGGTCATGGACCTTGCTTCGACAAGGCACGTTTGTCTAACCATACTGAGTTGGGGTACGTTGATCAACTCCTGTTAATCTTTGGTCGTCTGGACTTGGCTCGGTCGGTTTGGGTCTACCAATCGACTGCTTTGGCCTGGTTGTCAACTATCGACTCTAGGAGGAACTTATGTCTCCAGGATGATACTAGGTGCCGGGCAGAGAGTGAATCACCTCAATCTAACGTATAGCTCCCCCGTTGACAGAAAATCCTTCAGAGCATTTGTAGAGTATATGATGGTAAAACCACAGGCCTCCTAATGAAGAATCTAGGAGGCGCTTATGAGGCGACAAGAGATGCCAAGGCGAGAATTGGGCTAAGGCCTTCCCTTGGCTTGATAGAACTTGGTCATTGGCTCAGACAACATGTGTTCGGTCAGCTTGTAATCCTCGATCGAAGGAATCTGCACTTGGTCAATTTAAGTCTTTTGGTCTTCCTTCTGTGGGCCCTTCCAGGTCGTGCTTTCATATCTCTTAGTTCGTTGGATTTCCTTGGGAATTGTGCCGAAGCATTTCTGACATACAAATATAGAGAGTTCAGTGACTCGCCCTTACATTGCTTCTTCAGTTAGCACTATAAGTAATGTCATCTCCCATAATCCATCATTGGTCAACTTTAGAATAAATACTACGCTACCTCAAAGAAACTCCTAAACAAGATATTCTATATGAGAACGATGGGCATATTACTGAATGTTTCTCTGGCGTAGATTAGATAAGTTTCAAGATTGAGCAGAATTCCATTACTGGATATTGTGCATTTGTTGGTGGCAATTTGGTCCTAAGAAAGCGTAAGATACGGAATTTAATGTCACAATCTATAGTGCAAAATCTGAGTATCGAGCAATGACATAAACTTCAAGTGAATTGATATGGATCTTCAATTCTTCACCGAAATGAGTTTTATGATAATAGTTCCTACAAAGCTGTGGTGGATAACAAAGCTACAATTCATGTTGCCTCAAGCCATGTCTTCCATGAACGAACTAAGCATATTGAAAAAGATTATCATTTTGTTTGTGAAAAGATTGAAACAAATCTTATTTACATAGCTCATATAAAGGCTGGGAAACAACTCGGGGGACATCTTCATAAGGGACTTTAATAGAGATAGGGTCACTTATATGTGTAACAAGTTGACCATGATAAACAAATATGTTTCGACCTGAGGAGGAGTGTTATTAAAAGTAATAAATCTAAAGCCTGTACATTAGAAAGTTTGATATTAGATAATCTAATTACACAAACTTTTCTATATTATAGCTATTCTTAATCTATAAAGATGGGATTTTATATAAATATATAAAATATGTTTACAACTAAGAAATAAAACAAAATGTTGCTTCCTTTTACATTATTCTATACACAATGTTATGCTTCCAAGGAAAATATTACTCATGTCTATAGCTCAGAATAAATTACAAATTGCAAATTCTCATGACACCCAGAGAAGCAAACCAAAGAGTTATGTTTTCGGTATGATGAGAAGTTTATCACAGGACACTGTTGCAAAGATCGAAGACTACAAATTCTCATGGTGCATGATGAGGCGGATAAAGAAATAGAGCCAATTGTGGTGGAGGAATGCTCGCCTTTTCACACCTTGAGGACACGATGTCTTTTAGGAGGGGAGTATTGTTACATCGGTGCTTAGCCTATGGTTAATTTTGTCTTTTGTACAGCAAATAGAATTATTGTATTTTGGGTTAGGTTTATGTACGAGTTTATTGTGGCGAGTCTTAAGTTTAGACTTTAGGAGAAATTTCTTATCTCTCGAATTGTAGGGATTGGGAGAGATCGCCTCTACCCCTCGAACTGTGGGTCCTTACCTTTTTTATTCATGTAAGTTATTGGTGTTGGATTTCTTTGATTTAGTGTTCGAGAAATAAAATTTATGTTTGCCCTAATTTTTGTGAAAAAGCATGCCGATTTTGGCACTGAATCGTATCAACATGGTTTGTATAAAAACAAAATTGAATCATCAAAGCAGGACTCGCTACACATGATGATCTTTTAAACTTTTCAAACACTACATTCACAAAAAGGACAAGCCTTTATCTCATCAAGTGCAAAGTGTAATGCAATCTCATCTTTTTATTTCAAATCAAAACAAAAGACTTGTCAAAGTTGCAATAAATATTCTCTTAAACATGTTCATAAATTGCATATCTTTATTTTTCCATATTCAGCAGCCCTGCTTCAGTTTTTGCAATGATGAATTGATAACATCATATTCTGAAGCAAATACAAGATTGGAAAAAAAGTGAATATGGTGAATTCCCGTGTTAAAAGAAATAAAGAAAATAACAAATCGCTTAGGCACATTAAATCTTATTCACGAAGCCATGAAGAAAAACTAGACTATATGCTCCACGTAGATACAATGCGGCTTAGTACTTATTTAGACAGTGGAACAAATGATCAAGTAAAACTATAACTGATTCCCAAACCTGCAATATAAAGAAAGTAGCAGATAAACATCTGATATTTGACAATCCAGCTCACGAGTCTATATAACAATTTATCTGTAGTTATGGTGTTAACAAGATGTTGGCTAAGAAATCGTCCATAGGTGAACAACATAGCAGTGAAGAAGAAATGCCTGCAAAGCAGAAATGGCACCCAATGATTTCACGTAAAGTGGATATTGCAGTTCAGTAAAAATATAGGGAAATTTACTTACATAGCACAAAATTCTTATGTATTTACATCTCTCGCACTTATAATTTCATATTTACACGCACTTTGGTGCCTTAAAACTATGCATGAAAAGATATATTTCACTTTTATAAAGTGGTATTAGTGTTATTCTTTATGTGATATTAAGGAGTTGAGTGTTGTGTGTAAATATGGAAGTTTAGGTGTGAGATATGTAAATACTAAACTGTGTGCTATGTATGTAAATGCCCCAAATTGATAAGAAAAAAGACGCAAACGGAAATAAAATATGTTAAACACAAAATAATTAACCACACGACCAGTATATAATACCAATTCAAAAGCCTGAATCCTGGAAGCTGTCTATCTTCATTAGCTCTTCTGAGTAGATTAAACAACTCCCTTGCCATAAAGATTTGGATTACAACCACCATAGCCCAAATGTACAGATGGCCCATGTAGATAATAAATATAAAGCCTCCTATCATCCAAATAGATGAATATGTCCTGACGAGCATTGACTTGTACTTTTTGGGGTCGTTGACAAGAAATTGAGATCCATCGGATTTGGAGGCCTCTGCTGGAACCTGAAAACAAGAGAATATTGTAATTTACCATCGAATTTTTGTTCATTAGCCAGTATCAAGTGAAAAATGCAATAAAAAAAATAAAATATCTCAGCAAATTAAATAAAATCTGCCAGCAGCCAGTGACTAAACCAGCTCAAAATAATTGGGTCATTCAGCATTTTTATTATCCAATAAAATTTTCATCATTTATCCGTAAATAACATCCAAGTCACAATGCTGATAAATATCTCATTGACAGACCACATAACCAAAGTTATAATAATCAAAATTTGAAAATCATGCAAGAAATTTAAAACAATGCACTTGGCCTGATAACTCATAAACCGACAGCAGAAAAGTGAAACTAGAAGTATGATCATAGCTATTGCATTGGTCCTTTAATTCTTTTATTTAGTCTTAATTTCAGAGGCTATTTTTAGTATCCTAGAGAGGGGCGATATTTGTTTAATTTTCAGTTTACACAATCACCTTGAGTTCTGTTCATAAATACACCCTGAATCTTTGTTGGAAATACACTTTAATTCAATATAGATACAGTCTTATTACAATAAACAATGATAATTATGACAACGAATCTAGACAATTTCTTTAGGACCATATAGCTTGAGAGCAAAGTCAACGCTATTTAAACTCCAAAATGAATAAATCTTAATATGCCACTAATAACATAGGTGTACTAATTGAATATTAAAAAACAAGAAGACAAAAAACTCACCTCACTAGAACGTTTGCGATGTCGAAGCCGGGTTGTCGAATTTGTCGGAGAATCACCAATATTGTTTTCCTTATGCATGGCCTTTAACTTTTCAATCTGCAGAATAACAACTTAAATGAGTATTTAATACAAGATAACCATACAACAAAATGGAAATAAAAAGAAGCATTTGCATACATATCACACGATTCATATGTATTTACATATCTAAAACCTAAACTTCGCTTTTATATATTTATAGCATTCAAATCGTTCAAATCATATAAAAAAATATTACTATTTTAACTTTTAAAAACAAAAATACACCTTTTTCAACCATAAACAAGAAGGCATATATATGTAAAATTTAAAGTTTAAGTGCTAGAAATGTAAATATATAAGAATTCAGTGGTGTAAATGAAATTCATCCAAAAAAAACAAAAAAATCAATATCCAAGCGTTAAATCAATATAAATGATGGACAAGGCGAGTTGTGGCATCAAATATGTGTTTCTTTAAATGATAATTGTAGGAATATAACCTTTTTCCTGTAAGATGCATAAGCTTCAAAGAAACAAATGATTAGGAATGCATATTTGCAGAGCTGACTATATACAATGTTACTTTCATATCCATTCAACTTTACTTTCTTTCCTAAGAACTTAAAAAACTCTAACTATAAAACTTCTCATATATTTTACTTTCATACATAAGAGAACTCGCTCAGATAAATAACTATTTATGGTGAATGAAGAGATACTAAAACTGAATTGGAAGGACATTGAAATAGTTAGTTTTAGGTAGTGATAATAATGGGATTCCAAAGGTTAAATCCTATAGGTGTTGATATATCTATATACCAACATATTTGTCAATATGTAATTTTCTGGGACTTAACCACATATTTTAATGGGCCTCAGCATTAGACCATACCATATTGGTTGAAAACTTTGACAAAGTGACAATAGTATATTTCGACCCTAGTACTTCATATCACTTTTCATTGTATAAATTTTGTCATCTTAAAATCAACCTTGTTGCCTTCAAAAATATTAAATATTTTCATTCCTTTTTCAAAATTGTCAAATAAATATTTGAGTATTTCCAAAACAAAAAAATTATGGTTAAAATTTAAATTAAAATTTTATACCAAATAAAAAAAAATGAACCTGGAAAAACATATAAAACAAAAACAAAAACCAAAAACCACCTTAAACATGATAATCTAAATTAAGATTGAGAGAGAATACCTTGGAAAGTAATTGTTGTCCTACAATGAAACTCAAAAGTTTTTGTAAAGTTAAACTTAACGGTGACTTTTCATCGAGCACCAACAAAATAAAACAGTCGAGTGCTCAAACACTAAGATACTGACATGAATTGAAGGAGAGCGAAACACTAAGCTATCATTTCAGATTTTTTATAACTGATTTATTTTAGAAATAGGAATACATGAGCCAAAAAACACATGTGATCCATGTACCATCAAAAAGCTTGGGCTGCCGAGATCAAACTAAGATTCTAGCTCGATCAACGTTATAAGGGGCATTTACATACATACCACCCAATTCCTATGTATTTACATATCCAACACCTAAATAAAACACTTTACATTTATGCCCCCCAAATCTTTCATATCACATCAAAAATACCACCATTTTAACTTTAAAAAGGTGAATACACCTTTGTCATGCATAGGTAAGGTGACGTGTGTAAAAATTGAAGTTTAGGTGTTAGATATATAGATACATGGGAACTGAGTGGTATGTGTAAATCTTCCATAAATAAATATGACCAATCACTCATCTCAACTAATTTGCAAATAGAGATTGATTTTCAAAGGTGAGCTTTGCAGGCATATCTCCGAGAAGCGTCTATCATTATGAGAAAAAAAACAACAATGTCGTCCTGGGCCAACTCACCACCTCAACAACTATTGAAATATTTTTTTTGATTTTGCAACAACATTTTAAACACTGGCACATGTGAAAGCATTATTTATAGCAATTTACCTGGATCAATTTATCCTGCCCTGCCCCTCAAATCCGCTATCATCAATTTATAATTGTTGATAAACTTCATTCTATCACCATTTTTTTATTTGAGGGGCCACCATTTTAGACCTGGCCTCGAGTCTCGTTGAATCAGTCAAGAACTTGAAACACTGAAAGTGCTATAAACTAAGGCCCTGTTTGAGATTTCTTTTTTTTTTTTTTTTTTGTGTTTGTATTTTGTTTTATTTTTTGTTTTATGTTTCAAGAAAATGTGTTTGATATTGTTTTGATTTATCAGTTTTTAAAAATAAAAAATATAAAACATATTTAATTGAGTATTTTCTATTTTTTTAAGAAAACCCTATAATTTTAAAAAAAATATCACCAATTCTAACTATGTATATATATAAATTGTAATAATGTTACAGAACAAATATCAAACTAGACACATCCAAGGGTATTGTCTTTTAATAAAACATAAAATCATGAAGATTTCACACTAAAATAACACTTTATATGTCTAATAATAAAACAAATGACCTTTTAGCCCAAAATAAAATAAATCCAACATTATATTGATAACATTGTAAGATATAAACAAAAAACTTTACATGCTAATTAGTATACTCAGTTGTGCGTGTGTGGCTCCAAATTTCTCTAGCAATACGGTCTCGAAATAGTGCCATGTACTGCAACAGAGATTGAGAAATGAGAGTGTTAGAAAAAAAGGAGAGATCCTTTCAGCAATTATTTGAACAAGAGAGCATCATCCAAGCAAACTAAACAAGATTTCAAGATATTTCAAACTAACCACAAAAATTGACAAATATTTAACCGCAAGAAGAAAGAGAGGAACTAAGCATTTGTCATATAAATACATATCAAAAGCAAGAGATGTCTATAGGTTACTTCTAGCTTTTTTACCGAGATTACGCTCGTACGTTGCATACAATTTGCAGCAAAAGCTGAAAATGGATCTCATGCAAAAGCCTAGCTCCAAATAACAAAGCTTCTAATAAACCTCATGCAATATAAATATCACATTCTTATAAACCTGCCAAACTATTTCCATTGAAAAATAACATAAATATTCATGGGGTTACAATAATCATCTCGAATCAACTAATCGAAACTAACCCAAAGCCAACTAGACACAAACATGGCTAATCCGAACCCGGCCAATTTAATTTGCTAACAATATGGGTCAAACATGACCCATAACTCAACTAGATTTGTTTAACCCGGAAGCAGCTTGCTTCTTAGTTCCTTCTAAATTCCAACCATTAACAGCACACTCAAAAAAGGGGAAAAAATCAAACCGTATCCTTCAAAAAAATCACATAAATAGCACAAAATTCTTATGTATTGACATATTTAGATACATAGCATTTCGGTGCATTAAACCTATGCATGAAATGGAGTATTTCACTTCTAAAATGTGATAATAGTGATATTTTTTATGTAATACTAACGATTTGAGTGACATGTGTGTAAACAAGAGAGTTTGGGTGTGAGATATGTTAAAACAAAAGAATTGTGTGCTGTGTGTGTAAATGACCCAATTCAAAGAAAAACTGATTTCTAGTTACAAAATGTGAATGGTTATAGTATTCCCTTTGCTGTTACGATAAGAGGAGAGCGATCAGCATAAAACTGTAGGAGAAATACCTTTGTTGGCTTGGCAATCAGCGAAATCCCAAGGGAGCGTCAACCTTTTAGCTTCCCCTGGATTTGCTAGCCCCAGCCCCCTTCTCGCCTTCTCGTTGTCGTTCGGCGTTCGCACAGTCACACTCGCACCGCACTTCGCGCTTCACAAACCCTAAATCCGAACCCCAGCCCTGCTGTCCGGTCAAGAAGGCGAGAGTTTCGGGCCGAGAGGGAAGGTAGTCGGCCAGCGAGGATCTTCGGTCACGAAGGCGACAGGGCAGGGGGTCGCCGAGCGACAAGCAGGAGGCGTTCGCCCGGTAGGGAAGAAAGTGGCTGGTGGCTGGGATTCGCGTGTAAAAGACTGACTGTCAGACTATGCCAATTAAACTGGTTTAAATAATTATTTACTTTAGCATCAATTATTAGTTTAAATAAAATATAGATTTTAAAGACTTTAAAGAAAAGGCTTATTTTGAAATAAGTTTGAATGAATAATTACATTAAGGCCCCGTTTGGGTAGCTTATTTGGTGCGGTGCATTTGTGTTTTGAAAACGCATTCAGGTCTGTCTAGATAAACAGTATTTTGGCAGTCTTTCAAAAAAATTACATTTTCAAACAACTAAATTCAACGTTTTCACACCATTCGTGCCCATGTGCGGTGGCAGCTTTTTAGTTACGATCGTTCTTTTTCAAAAAAAAAAAAAAAATTTGTCATAGTCACCGCAACTTATTAATCAGCAGATTATTTTTCAGTGGCTTATTAATAAGCTGCAGCTGCCTCAAATAGACCCTAAATCTCATACAATATTCCTAAAATATGTGAATTTCCATTGATTAATAATTTTCTAATTTTTTACAATAATTTATTATTCTTTCAATGGAAGGATAAAGCTCATATAAGCATTGACTAAAATTTTAAAGTAATCGATCATGCAAGCTCAATTTAGAATTTCACCTTTCAAATATAATAGCATAAATTTCAATGAGATTTTGAATTTTTTAAACTAAAGAAGATAACATGCACCAATTTTATATGTTATAACTACTATCAAGTTTCTCATTTCAAAGTTACTTTACATGACTTTTTTTTTTTAACACCATGAGCTTTTTCCTTTTTTTTTTTTTTTCTTTCAGCTATTTTTGATAAAATCTTATATTGATTTTAAGTATTGTAATTTAAATGATAAGTCTTTCTTAAGTTATTTCAGTTGATGTTTACAAAATTTTAATATTACTTATTAATTATATAAGTTTTTAGTCAATTGTGTTCAAGTATAACTAAATGTCTTGAAATTAAAAGACTTATTAATTCGTGTAAATTAAATGGTTATTATTGGGTGAAATTAAATTTCAATAAATTTTAAAATTTTATTATTCCATTTAATTGATGTAATTGTTGATTAATTCATAAATGCAAAATCTTAAATTAATTAAGCTACTTTTATCTTATAGTTACAAATGCTTAATTTGATAACTTAAATAAAAAGTTATAATACAAAATAGAAATACAAACAAAATGAATATAATTGGTCATTTCCTCAATTAGTGCATATGTCTGATCAAAAGATTTTGATATTAAATATCTCTCTATTGTATCATCTATTATAGACCTCAATGATCTCACAAATTTATTATAAAATATTTGTATAATTAGTTCATCTGGAAGAGTAGGATGTGAGTATTTTCTAAACAAGTTCTTAAATTTCTCTCAAACTTCATATATCAACTCATTTTTTATCTAGGTCAGGAAATTAATGTCATTCATAATATTAGTTATTTTAAAAGAAGTGAAATAGTTAGCTAGGAATTTTTATGCGTTTATTCCGAGTTGTGATAGACAATAATGATGAAAAGTTTAGTCATACATTAGGTTTATCTCTAAAGAATAAATGGAACAACCTAAGTCATGTAGGATTATTGTGTGTTTGAGTTCAAATCTTTGGCTTGAATAATAGGATTATTGATACTCCGATGTTTTCATCTACTATGGGGTTGACAAAATCCCTTAGTGTTTTAAACAGGTCATTTTCTTCCTGTGCGTTTATCATTTTTCTTAATGTATATATATATATTAATTTAGCGTAAAATGGTATGAGTTTAATAGATTCAATAAAATGCATGCATTAATTAAAATAGCTAATAACCCAAGATTAATAATCACAAAACAAATAGTAGTTATAAATCAATAAGTAAACACACAACATTAATTAAAACCACATAATAATTAGAAAACACAACCTAGTGCTGAGGGAACATAATCATGTGGCGCTATCGAAACAAGGTTGCAACATTGGTAAAGCTGCGCTACGGCGCTAGGCTACATGAACTGAAAAAATTGTCGCAATTGAAAAGATATCTACATAGCAAAGTAATAAAAATACAACAAAACATTAACATGCTTAAACAAACTAAATTAATACTTAAACTTTTAGATAATATTTTCTTGAAATAAGAAACTAACATCTTTTTGAAGTAACTGTGCAAAAGCTTGATCAGTGATACGAATATACACAAGTTCACACAAGTGAGTGTGTCGATCAAGTAGTATATAGATTATGAGTCTAAATATTTATCTCACAAAGAACTAGGTTTCTTCTTAAATTTGGGCACATATCATCGTTAAAGTCCATTTGTTTTATCCAATTAAATCAATTTTAAAAGAAATTATAAAATTTTTTTCTACAACAATGAAAATATTTCTTTCTTTTAAATTCTTAGATAGAAATCTCCATGAAACAGTGTTATGTTTCTGTTTAAGTCTGATACAAGTGTTATTATTATAATTGATAATTGAGAGCAAAACTACTCCTTAACCTTTTTTGAGGTCATAAGAAGTATTGAAATTTAATTTTATAATTTAGTTTCCTGAATCATAGAAAAACCCAAAGTTTTCATGTTTCCCAATCGATTGCACTATCATAGAAACAATATTTATATTCTCCCAAGAAAATGTGTGTTGACCTAGTTATTTCGCTAAGTTTTCTTCTGAAACTCAAATATCACAATAAATTTTATTGGATCAATTAACTGGATTAAAATTAAATGACATAAAAAGGTTAGCACATCAACTTCACATGTTCTATTGAAAATAACACTATAGTTAGATCAAAATATTTCACAAAAACACTACATAAAAAGGGTTATAACTAATTCTAAACCTTGTTGATCAAATAATAATATAAATACATGAAAATCTTAACATTGGAACAAAAGAAAGTATTATGGAAAATACCTGATATTGTCTTCATTTGAAATCTTCTCGAACCCTTGCAAAAAAAATCCTTCCAATTAATCCTTTGCAACCCCTCTCACTCACTCACACCCCAAAAGTCTCCAAAAGTCTTTTCTCTCATGTACAGAAATCCTCTTATTTAAAATTTTAAGCAAAATCATCTTCAAAATCATCAAATTTGACCAATGCCAGTTAATTCGTAGCATCGGGGCACCACAATAGGGTGTCAGGGCGCTACATCAGGCATTGGGACTCTGAAGTGTCAAGCTCTCTAATTTTTTGGACTCTTTTTCTATGTCGGGTGCCTAGGTGATGTAACATTAGCGCCTTGGCACTGCTACAGTAACTATCACCATACGCTTTTATTTTTTCTCAAATTTGTTGTCATGTTAATTTTATGTATTAAAACATAAAATAATTACCTTCAAAGCACAGAATATTATAAAATTTACAGGAATCCTTAACAATAAGTTGCCTTTATTTTGCTTTTATTTTATACTATTTTTCTTTGTTGCATGATTGGTATATCACCAACCCATAAAATGTATTGTAAGCAATTTAAATTCCCTCAATCACAAAAAAATGTGTAGATACTAGCTTATAATCTAAATTGTATTATTTTTAGATAACTACTAAACATTAGCCTCCAAAAACCTTAGGACCGCTTCAAAAACATGAACTCTCCCCCATTCATCCCCCTCAAACTCATTCAACTTCTCAATACTTGCAAGTTGTTCTAGTAAAAACCCTAATGTAAGAAGCAACTTTTTGTTGTAATCACCAAACTTAAGAATCACTACTCATTAACTAATGTTTAGAAATCCATAAGAAAATCTTCATTAGTTTTATAATATCTTAAAACTTTAATATGGAGTTTCTTGCCCTCACCTAAAAAGAAAACATATTGTTTTCTAGCCAAGAAACTTAATGTTAAATTTGTCCAAAAAACATCATCACCATTTTCTCTTCCTAGGATAATCCCTTTACCATCATCTAAGGAGGTCATTTTTTACTTCACCATAAAAATCATCTTGCACTCTAAACCAATCCTATTTTTATATTTATATATATATATATATATATATATATATATATACAAAAACAACTGATTTTTTATCAAGCATGCATATACGAAAAACCACATTCACTTAAAACATAATATAAATAATAAAAATATGTCAATCAGTTTAGGTCTAATTCAAATTATTGAATATATGAGTATACATATATCCACCTAAATAAGATATCACACTCAGTTTTCTTATAAATTAAGAGAATTTACCATTATATAATGGAGACATGCTAATTTTCACTTATACATCTACTAAAAGATTAGAAATTATGGGATATGTTTATTCATTGACAAAAGATGAGACACTAGTGCCAAGAAGATTGTCATTCTATGACTGTGGCAGAGGAAGTTAGAGAACCATAATTTGATATCACCTATTTGCACTATGATGAAACCTATAATTTAATACATTTTTTGAAGCAAATGCTACATAGTAATTAGAATGTAGTGCTCTCATTTGTCAAAATTCTTGCAAGAGATGAAGTGTTTTGTGTTGCAGAGTTTACATACATAGGGAAAAATATGCTTGAATAGGTGTATAAAATTTTTCATGAAATATACTTTTATCTTCATGAAAATTGTACGAGCCAATGATTGATTGAGTTACAATTTATTGATAGAATGATCCCTTATCTAATGTTGGGGAGTCACACATAGCATTTTGAGCAACATATTTATGTGTCATTCAGAAGAATGTTCAAACATTGAATGCTAATATTATTGCACTTGAACTATTATTGATCTCTAACTTTTTGGTAAATGCGAGTAGCTTCCCGTAGGTGTTGTCAAACTATTATAAGCCCAGTTGATTTGGCTAAGAGGCTAGAATAACAATGGCTTTACAAGTTTATTTTTTCCACACAATAAAAGTGAGCATGTCATGAGAAATTATCATTGGAAAGTCTATGATATGAAAGTCACTATATGATATGAATTCAAGTGATATCCCTTACATCAATTTGATGGAGTTTCCTTTAAATAATGATAAATAAAGTGAAGAGAACTTATGTTTCATCTTTGTTCTATAAGTGTTGAGGAAAACCATACTTTC